ATAATCATTTAATAAAATTGTTTAACGTCCAGATCGTGTTAAATTTTCATTTCATCAGAATTTTATTAAGGTTGTTCAAATCATGACCCAATATTTCCATACTTTGTGATGAGTTGTCATATTAGTTTTTGTATTTCTTTTAATCTATTCCATAGGTTTTCTTGTTTCTAGTAACTTATTTGAAGAAACTGAGTCGCCCACACTGTAGAGCTTTCCATAGCCTGTCACATACTATGGTACAGCTTTAAGCATATTTCTCATTGCTCTATTTCTTTCTTTCTTCCTTTTTTCATAATATGGTCTATTGTATTTATTTTATTTTTATTTATTTATTTTTTGAGATAGTGTCTCAAGCTGTTGTCCTGAGTAGAGTGCTATGGTGTCATCATAGCTTACAGCAACCTCTAACTCTTGGGCTCAAGCAGTCCTCTTGCCTCACTTTCTGCATTTAGTAGAGACGTGGTCTCGCTCTTGCTCAGGCTGATGTCCAATTCCTAAGCTTATGCAGTCCACCTTCAACATAATCAACTCATAGCCAATCCTATCCCATCTACATGCCATCTACTAAAGATGGCCACCCATCTTGGCCTCCCAGAGTGGTAAGATTACAAGTGTAAGCCACCATTCCCAGCCTTCTGTTTCTTGAAAATTGAAAGTTGTGTTGTTTTCTTCCTTCCTTCCTTCCTTTCTTCCTTTTTTCCTTCCCTCCTTCCTTCCTTGTTTCCTTCCTTCCTTTTTTCTCTCTTTCTAGTCAGAACAGTCAGTTCTAGCTATCATTTTAATGATTGGTTGAGTTTTGTTTATATTTTGCCAACAGTTTTCCTTTTTTGTATCTTCCAGACTTTTATCCATGATTCACGAGCATTGCCCTTAAGCACTACATAATACAAAAACCCAATCTTCCCCTTAAATGATCCATGCATAAATCCTTTCATTTAACTGTTTGTCTCAACATCATGATCCTCCTCTTTCAAGTACACTGGCTTTTCAATCTCAATTTTTAAATTGTGTTCCTAGAACTGAACGCCATATTTTATCTGTATGTAGTCTAATGCTTTTCTTAATTAGGAGAATGGAGAATATAACCCAGAAGCGATTAGGGCTCGAACCTACTGCTACCTCCTCCTTTACCCCCCACGCCCATTCCACTTAGGCCAGAGTAGCTGCCCTTGGCTTGGGAGATAAGTAGGTTAGATCTCCTTTTAATTTCACCATCAGTTGCCAAGATGTGGAAATAACCTAAATGCTCATCAATTCAAGAATGTATTAACAAATTGTGGTACATGCACATCATGGAACACTATTCAGCCATAAAAAGGTGGTGATGTCACCTCTTTTGTAATATCCTAGAGTTGAAACACATTCTTCTTATAAAAGTATCACAAGAATGGAAAAGCAATTATCCAATGTATTCTATATTAATACTAAACCAATAGATGATCTGATACACTCCCACATAGGGGAAAAACTCATTTCAATTCAAGTTGGGGGAGGGGTAATGAGGGAGGAGAGGGTGCTCTCACTGAATGAGCATAGGCTGGGGGTATTTGGTACATTTTTTGTGTGTGGGACATAACCACAAGAGGGACTCTACCTAACAAAATCAAATTTTTTGGCCTGGTTGTTTGTACCCTCACATTAACCTGAAATAAATTTACTTTAAAAAAAAGTCTCCATTATCTTGTCAATAAATGTATAAAGAATTAACTGAATTTTGCCTCATTATCAAGATTATTTAAGAGATATTTGTGTATGGTGTAAATACTGTCAAATAACAAGCTGCAATTGGTTGTTGAAAATTTGTATGGTCCTCAGAAGAGGAAACAAATTTTGGCGCTTGCCTAGGATTAACTGAGTCCCTGGAAGGAAGGTAAAGAAATGTTGATAGCCCTAAATCTTGTACTGTTTGAATCTAATTCAGTCTGGGGTCAGCTCTAACCTACACAATGTAACATAGGCCTAGTGTGGGCCCCTCAAGAACCACTTACTTGATACAAAGCTAATTATCAGTCTCACACACAGCAAGAGGACATCCTCAACAAGACTCTGGTCAGAGCTGGATGTGTAGCCTGGCTATACCGTGCACAGCTCTGTGAATTCATGCAATTTCTTAACCCCATTAAACTCAGCTTCTTAGTCTATAAAAAGCAATAATAAGAGCATTTTTCTAATCTTTGTGGCCCTGAAGATTAAATGACCATCTAACAAGTTTAGTATGGTGGTTAACATCTGTGTCTTCCAAACAAACATGAGTTGTTATTGTTATCATCATTATACTTATCTTTATTAATTTATCATGCCAGAGTCAAGGAGACTGTTTCCCTGATTTCCTTTGGGGTTCAACTCTGTCCTATTTCTAGTTTAACTATTGTTCTCTCTTTGAAACTACGCTCTATATGAAGCACTATTTCTTTCATTGTATGGATAAAGTAATCCACCTTGGAACATGCAATGCAAATCTATGTAAAGAACTCAGTAGGGTTGGTAGGTAAACATGCACTATAGTTAACTAAGCATTGGAATAAGCCATAGGGGATGTGAATTGCATCCTCAGACCTAATTTTCAGTGACCATGAGAAAGTCATATATTTTGTATTAGCCTGGTCTTTTCTAAAAGTTGAGACGGGGTAGAAGACTAGAGCTTCGTAAAGTGCTGCTTTAGGGCTTAGTTTCTTAAGGGCTACAGACTGTTTGCTTTTTCTGTGACAAATGGATGGGAAATATAATGGGGGCAGACAGCACAAGGCTACTTGATACAATGCTTACATTTCATCAATTTTTCCAAGTTGGCTGCCAAAGAAATATAGCAGATGAAAGAAAAGACTTATGTAGGCGTAGGGAATAGCCTGTAATAAGGACCTGTATAAAAGTGCAGCTTTTTAAAAGATGGGAAGAAGGCTATTGTACCCAGGGCACTGAAAGTGAGAATTACAAAGGCAAATGAAAAGTGTGTAGTAAAGCACTGTGCAAAAGACTTTGGATAACCACAGAAAATAACTTAACTATGGTACTAAACCTTAAAAAATAAATTCATTTGAGTTGGCAGTCAAATTTTAATTTGAGAAATGTTATTAATAAATCATCCCACAAAAGGTCAAAAAGTACACAATTAATGTTCACATGACATAGGTCTTATGAACTGTAAAAACCAGGGAGTGGTAAATGACCATCATCCAGGAATTAGATGATATTTTTACCTTTTATATTTATTGCTAATTCAATTTAAAAGCAAAACAAAACACAAAACATCAAGTCTTTCAAGCTCCCTTTAAACCTCCAATCGAGAAACAGCAGAAACAGAAGTTCTAACTTAAAATCAAAACTTCTCCTAAAAAAGTTTTATGAATCAAGTGCAAAAGTCTATAGAGTATAATCTATAGATTAGCAAAGGCTGGTTTGGCCAACTGACCTCTTGAATCAGCTGCCAGTCGGTGCCCTGAACAGAGGCAGAGAAACATAATCATAGGTATCTTAATAACTTGTGCAAAGCTAAGCAAGAGGTTTTTATAGACAGCTCTCTTTAAGACAAAGCAAAGGCTACATGACGGAGAATAGATAAGGAATAGGAAAAAGAATGCTATTTATATTTAGTTAGCAAATTCTGAACTAAAATTGGTAAAGAATAAACTTCATATCTTCTTACAGAAAAGAAAAAATACAAACTAGATTTAACGGAGCTCATTTCAAATCTTGGCAATGCTGTGGGCTTGAGCAAGCCACAGAGCAGTTTACTTATAGTTTCTTTTTCTTTGAAATAAAAATAATAATACCTACTACCCTGCATTCCATAAGGTTTAATTAAGTAAACACATATAATATTCTGAACAAACCCCCTAATACAGAGACATCTCTCAGTAATTGTTGTTACTAATTTGGGGTGCCACTCTAAATTTCTCATTGGAAGGTACCAGTAGAATAATTCTTACAAATATTGAATGCAAATATCCACCAGAAATTGCTGTGTGTTCATACTAATTTTTACCCCAAAAGACAAAAACCACATATACTATTTTTCAGTTGTCTGATTCAAAACCAACCAGTATAGCATTTAACTTTGAAACTGTCAAGAGCACCACCTGTCTGGTTTTCTTGCAGCTGTCAGAAGCAAATTTTAGATCCACCTCCCAAATTTTTACCCTAAGTAAAATCAGATTGTGTCTGTATTCAAAATGGCTTAGTTTGAAAGGATTCCCTTATTGCAAGAAATGTATGTACGTATGTGTGTTCATAAAACTTGCTACCATGGTCAAATAATAAAAAATTACATCTTTTAATTAAAACATGTAATTTTCAGTAAAAGCATTAACAGAAAGTATTTATTAACATAAGGACAGACACCAACATTTAAAGGGCAAAAAAGAATGAGTTTATGACAAGAATCAGAGTTCTAACACTTAATTTCCTTATTTTTAAAATCGTATTGATCTACAATGAATTTGTGGCATTCAAAACTTTATCTCTGAGTATCTATCAATAACAAAATAAATATCTATTTTGTTGGAGCACTTAAACCTTAAATTGTATGTAAGCCTTAAATGTGTGTGTTTATATAGTTTAGTGGGAAAAGAAAAACAAATTTCATAACTTCATTTTAACATACAATAAAGCAAAAAGGCTCAAAATTATTATTCTAAGTATTAAATGTCATGTTTTAAGTTTATCACAGTTTCCACCCTTGCAAGCCTTGTAAATTTTGCTAGATAAGATATCAGCCAGCATGTTACATGACCATGCTATTTATAGAGGTGCGGGTGACAACAATTAAATTATGGTGCCTTTGGTATCGCAGAATTTCCACATGCAAAATTTCAGAGAAATCTCTTCTTACTCCCCCAACATACAGATCTGGCAGCCTCTCAGCTCCCAAACCCATATGCAGTCATTGAACAAGGCAATTACCTCAAGGCAACATTTTTCATGGACACTTTGCCAGTTCAATGTGGCTGTCAATTTATGCATTTTTTTCTTTATTTGATACTATTGGAAAACAGTAGCAATACCTTCAGCAGTGATCTCAGTCATGGTGGCCGTAGCAAGTAAAAGTCAGGTGAAAATTTCTCTGTCAAGAAGCACTTTGCAGAACGCTTTCGGAATTGGAGAACTCTGGTCGGGGTTCGATGTTTAAACGTGAGGGCTCCTCGTTTTGCTGGCTGTTTCTCGGCTGCTTCTTTGTTGTCCTGTTGAACTTTGCCTCTTCTCTGCAGAGTTCTCCCCCTGGAAACAACCTAAGCCCTTTCCAAGCAGCACTTGTGGCTGAGCTAGAAGTATTAGCTTCAGACAAAAATAGCCTCATCACCCTGGGACTCTTCAGCACTTTTTTTTTTTTTTTTTTGGCAATCTAGAGGAACACACACACACACACACAGATCTTCCAGCCCCAAAAAGAGATTGGGGGGGGAGGGATAAGTCAGAACAACAAGACAATAACAACAACAAAACCCCAAAGCCAAAGGAACTAAAAAGTACTGTCTAAGCCCCCGCAGTAAGATAATTACAGATCTTGGGGTCTATGTCAGAAAACATGAAATAAAGAGTTGAAGGTAATCTTATCTGTGACAGCTCAGTTTTATTCTTAGTGCTCTTACAGCTCAGAACATTCCTCTTTCCCTTATTTGGTTTGGGGAGGGTCCTGTAATGTCTACCAGAGGCAGAGGGGAGGATAGTCTCAAGTAATTTCTCCAAGTTAATTCCCTATTGGTGGAAATCCATTTAGCAGTGCAGTTATTTATAAAGGGCAGCACTTAAAATCTCAACGGTTAAATCCTGAAGCCTCCTTCTAGTGTTGTTGTAGGAGGCTAAGCTTTTCTAAACACTGACCAATAAAAATTCTACAATTTGAAATTATAGAATGACATTGAGAACACATGAATTACTATCTATTTCCTGTTTAATAGCCTCTGAAGATAACATATCTGAGTTTATCTAGGCAAAGAAAGGGAAAGTGACATAAAGTTCAGAAATCTACAGCTTACAATTTAGTAAAAGAGTTCAACTTTTCAAACTTTTTTTTCTCTTCCTCAACTTAAAAAAAAAAAAAAAAAAGATTATGGCAGCAGCTAACAATTAGCCAAATTGGCTGATTAGCATTTCACCTTCCTACTCCTAGACAGGTGCTAATGAGCAGAGAAATATTCAGTAGTTGGAAAGGGAAGGAGAATCAAAGGGCATTGATAATCATAAACTCTAGCCAATCCGAGAATAATCAAGGGGTGCCTACACCTTTATGATACTCTCACAGTCAACCTAATAAATGTTTGTACTTTGATATTTTAGCTTTAACTTGCTGCCTTTGGTTGTCAGACCTCTTGAATGTGTATAGTACTTCACAGATCACAAACCCAAACCACGTCTGTTATTTTAAATTTGGGGGCTTGGAAGAGTAGGGCAAAGGTTACGTATTTCCAAAGCTGGTGACATCATCCATGGCATTGGTTCTGCCTTTATCTGCTGTCCCCATTGCTGCCACTACAGAAAGTGCTCATGCACCAGCCAAATAAATAAATTAGTAAGTAATGTTAATTTACAAAGAGATAATTCCAGATAATATTCACAGTTTTATGCAAGGTCCTATATATCTAGGATTGAGTAAGAGCCTTTGGCTTGAAGTCTGAAACCTTTCCCAAGCTCTGAGGCCTTGTTGCAGATACTATTATTTGCAGGTGTCCAGGACTATTACATATTAGGTCCATCAGTGGAATTGAAAAATGCAAAATCCTCATAGCAGCCTTCTGGAGAACTAATCAAGCAGATTTACCCTAAGAACAGAACTCTCCTCTTTTTGGCCCCAAAACGTCACCATTCAATTTTGTCCTGGTGCTTCTAATTCCAAGAAAGTAACAATTCACATCTCTATTCATCAGTTACTTCCACAATCTTTCACAGTAGTCAACTGAAGAAACAATATCTTGTGTAACTCATTAAAAATTTTCATGGGTCAGGGCCTAAATAAAATTAGCTAACATAGGAAAAACTCAATTTCAAACCTTGACTCAATAAAAAGTTAAAATGAGACAATAAAGCAAGAATATTAACTTCCTAGTGATTGATATTACCCTTAAGTTCCCACTCACTAATTTTATGTTAACTAGGAGGAAAAAGAAGAGGAAAAAAAATGTTCTAGCCAATAAATATGTTTTAAAGATAATAAGTATTTTAATCCTATCTGTAAGATGAGCCAAAGAATCTTATTAGACATTGAAAGATTAGTATATTCCTCATTTTGAAGAGTCATTAGAACTCTTTCAATTTCTTTGAAACTCAATTCATGAGATATATCGTTGAGTTGCAAATGGAATCTATGAAGCTCTTCAAAACCAAATAACCGAAATCTTACAATTGTGTATACCCCATTTTTCAGGAAGTTCAAAGAATAGGACATTACAAGCGATGTATTTATCCATCTTAATTTTTACAAGGTATTTGTTTCAAAGCTGTAGGTGGTGACGCACACCTGTAGCCCCAGCTGTTTGGGAGGCTAAGATGAGACGATCACTTGAGCTCAGTAATTCAAGCCCACCCTAGGCAATAGAGTGAGACCCTGTCTTAAAAATCAATTTTAAAACTAAAACTTTTTAAAAAATGTATTCATTTAAAAAAATTATCAGTGCATTGTGTTCTCCAAATATAACCCAAAGTGGTAGTTCTCTCTTCTCAGTAATAGCTTCAATATACTCTGACATTTTCCATTTCTGCCCATCAGCACGGGTAGAATTATCATGGTTTTGCATAAAGAGGCATTTATGAAATCAGGACAGTAGTAGCTGACAAGTCTATATAAGTAAATGATAAGCTGCAAGCATGTGTTTTCCTATTAAATGTTGCATTTAGGCCAAGCTGTGTCTCCAATCTAATTATCCTGATCATTACCCTGGTAGTTCCCACCAGGTGTGCTAAATACTCAAATTAGAAGAGAAAAAATTCTCCCTTGGAACAATCTTTTTAACCTGTATGCTCTGTCTGCTATAAACTAATAATCGGTTAGACCCGCAGTTCTCAACCTGTGGGTTGTGACCCACAGAAACTGTATTAAAGGGCCGGGACATTAGAAAGGTTGAGAACCACATAGTTAGACACATTTTATACTAATATTATTCATATTATACTGTGAACAAGATGATTCCATATACATTGAGTTTCAAAATATTAAAAACATTCAAGAGGCAACCAGACGATATTTGTTGATTTTTGCTTCCCACCAAGAAACTACAAAAAATAAATAACTATTTCAAGACCATACTGCATTATCTCTGTCACTGCTAATTTGTTTGTTCTATGGAGTATAAGAAGCGATATTATTGGGAGTAATACCTGTTTACCACCAGTCACCTATTTTCTCGAGGACTGTAGATATTTCAAAGAAAGTGAAATTTTAGGGTTATCCCTAAAGGTATTCTTTTTTTTCTAATTTACAGACATAAATGGTTTAATTTACTAAAATAACCTACACCTGAATTGGTGGTAAATGGAAATAATGTAAATGAAAAAACTTTGTACAATGTAGTACATTTAAACCAAGTGCAAGAAATTCATGGCATGTACAATTGGGATGGAAAGTGCTCTTTGCTAGGATCTTAAAATAATAATGGACATAATTTCTAAGGAAACCTGTTTGGGGGTTCACTTTAATCGGCAGCAAAATAAATAACCAACCAGAATAATTTGAACAAAGGAGTGGGGAACAGAGTGTTGTAATGTGAGAAATCTTTGTAATTAAGAGCAAACAAAATGTAATCTACTGTTTCAGTGCTTCTGTTGAAGAAGATTACTAAATAATACAAAAGAGGTTTACTTTTAGCTTTGTAAGGAAAGACAAACTGGCAAACACAGCTTAGATATGGAAAGAATGACCAATGGCTTTTAAAATCTTAGATGGAAGAATTATGGAAGAAACTGGAACTGTAGAGGGGAATGTGGGGCCCTTCGATTGTACTTGTTCTCATTTGACCTTGACATCCCATCACGTGACTTAGAAATTCCTCTGAAGCTTACACTTGATAAACTTAATCTTCAGAATCACAAGAAAAGCCTCAGTTGAGCTATTAGTTTATTAATCTTACTTCATCTCAGCACTGATGTTCGCTTTAAATTGTTTTGTGTTCTGTCTGTGTCATAGAAAATTTCACTCTGTCCTCATTACTTTCTCTAAATGGCCTACACTCATTTCTTGCAGCAAAGTTGAAAGTCATTCCATAGGTCTGGCTTACCATCTGATTATTTAGAAACCGTGTAATCCAGATCGTTTCAAATGACAGAAGGCATTCCAGGGCAATTAAAAGCTTTCCTCTCTTCAACTCTGACTCATGAATAGCTGAGTCTCTAGTATCAGGCTTCTCTCCTCACACACGTTTGACATTGTCAAACATTCTCTTAGAAATTTGCCTCTGTCAATCCAGTCTTCTCTTAACAAAGGCAACGGCTGTGGTTGCCCCTTCCTTCTTGGAGATTTCATTCTCTGAAGAGTTGGCATCTGTCCACTACCACTGTTCTCTTTAAGAGGATCTGCAATATTCTGTAGGAGTTGGCCCCTGTTGAGTCCATAATTCAAATTACTGCTTTGTGGTCTGCAGTTGATCACATATGACCTCCAGTTCAATTTTTCATTTCCTATTCAGAAGGAATTTATGATTCATGCTTTTTGTGTTTTCTAATAAAATAATAAACACCTTTCTTATAAAAAATATCTGCAAACCAAGTCTTAGATATAACTGCTTTTTCTTCTTAAATACGGTAAATGGATATATATTTTTTTCTTTTTTGATGGTGAAAAATTGGACTTTTAATATCTAAAATCAGAAACAAGCTAAAGATGTCTGATTTCATCAGTTTTATTCAACCTGTTATGGGAGATGTTTTCAGAAAAATCAGGCAAGAAAATGAAATAAAAGCATTACAGACTTAAAAGTACACGTATAAACACAGTCCCCCAGAAAAATATGTAAAATCACAAATACATTGTCACTATACATATGGATAGGCAAACCCTGATACAGACACATAAACTCGAAGATTTATTTCTTAAAGGCCCAGAGACGTTAACAGATACTTCCAGAGACACACCAACCCAGGCCTTCTACACCCTTCTCTAAGTTTCTGTACTTCCTTACAAATAACTATGATACACATACTTTTGCTTATTTTCTTTCTTCTTGGCTTTTATTAGAGTTTCAGGTTGCTTCAGACAGGGATAGCCTTGTTCACAACACCATACTAATCAGAGAACCTGTTACACAGAGGAGAATACTACTTACTGAGCACCAGGATTCACACACACACACAGAGACACACAGACACACACACAGTGTTCTCTCTAACCTCATCAGAGCCCAATATCTTCAAATAGTGAAT